CCTTCAGAGGAAGTCTCTTCAGACAGAACTTCCCCTCGACGAAATCAGTTCTTCCCCCTCTGCGCTGCCTCCGTATCTTCTTCCTACTTCTCCTGCCCCATCGAACACAGTGGATCCTATTGGTTGACACTTTTATCTCCTTCGCTAGACCATAACGTCTTGTATCCCAAATGCCTGACAATTACTTTTCCCTCAATGAACGTCTGTTAAATGGGAGTGATCGAACCTCTCCTGACCTTCAACTTTCTACTTATACAATGAGAATCAAGATACCGACCTTGCAGAGATGTGAGGTGGTGCAGTTGAGGAGAAAAATGTCCAGGGGCTAACACAGTGCCTCGCACACCATGCCCCGGAAATGTCATCCTCCTCCTCCCCCTGTTAGAGTCCGATATAAGATTCCAATCATTCTAGTCACCTGTTTAGGATCATGGACAAGGAGGCAGGCCATCTCTCCACTGAGGAAAGATTGCTGGAATGATTATAGCCACGCTGCTCCTTCGGTGAGAGGCGAGTAGCAAGGTGGAGACAGCGTGTGCTTCGGCACCCAGAAGCCCTGGTTCCAGCTCTGGCCTAGCTACTACGTAACCCTGAGCAAGCCTGTAATCCTCCTTAAGCCTCATCTCCCTTGTACGAGATGCATGAAAGAAAGCCACATATATGTGTGGTACACAGTAGGGACTTGGATCACATGTAAAATATCATGTGAGTCATAGAACCACATGATTCCACCCTGGAGGGGCCACACATGCAGAATAGCTTGGCTCATTGGCCCCCTGCAACTATCCCCACCAAAGAATTAAAAAGGAACATCATTCTCCCTCGTACCTCTGGAAAACCATCCGAGGAGACCCAATTCACACCCATTAACAACACTTCTCATATCTGTTTCATGACTTTCCCTCACGGCCCTTTCCAGAGCTTCAGATTCGGTTGAACCCACAGACCTAATCCCCACTCCTGTCTCAGCCTGGCAGCATTGACTCCCTCTTCCAGCTCCCCGCTCACTGTAGTTTTTCGCCAAGCCCTTCCTCCCTCCTCCTGTCTCTCTAGTCCTTTCCCACCCACTGCCCATACACTACACAGTTCCCCCGAGCCAACCTGACAGCAGCATGCTCCTTTCAGGGACCTGGGTTAGACCGGCGAAGCCAGCTCTCCTCTGGCAGCCTGGAGTAGGGGAGATCGATGAGTTCTCTTCCATTGATGAAGGGTGCCCTGCCTCAAATGGACAGTTTAGAATGGGACTCGCTACCGAACTGTGTTCTCTGCCCACAGGGCGACAGTGGGGGGCCTCTAGTCTGTACCCCAGGATCTGACAAGCAATGGTACCAGGTGGGCATCGTCAGCTGGGGAAGGAGCTGTGGACAGAAGAACACTCCAGGAATATACACCTTGTTAGAGAATTACAGTCTCTGGATCAAGAAGGTGACTGAGATAGAGGGAAGGCCCTTTAACTCTGAGAAAATGAGAACTCCTTCCCAACAGACACTGATGCGATCGCACGCCTCAGAATTCCCAAAGCCAGGCAGCCCCGGACTCCTGCTCCTGCTCTGCCTTCTGTCCTGCAAGCTGTTCTAGGCCACCTTCCACTGACAATAAAGCAAATGCTATTCCTTAACCAACGAGGGTTGTGAGAATGTGCCACCAGCAGCTTCTTAGCTGACTACAGATTAGAGCTAAGGACTAGAAACTGAGGCTAATAACAGAAAATAGGACCAGAAAGTCACGCAATCTGGAGCCCTGGTTTGGGGACTGGGCTTTGGGTCCCTGCATTCGTCAGGACTCTTTCCATTGGAGACAAGTTACTGAACTCAAACCACCTAGCGCCAATATGTACATAACAGAAAACAAACAAACAAACAAACCAGGAATGGTATGTTGGCTCCAATCATGGCTGAATCTAGGTGCTCGACAGATGTTGACAGGGACCGTTTCTCAAAACAGGTGTCCAAGTGGAGGCCATGATGACCACCAGGATTTTTAATTTGGATCCTACCAGCTTAGCAGCCTCAGTAGAAAGAGAGAGCCTTGTTCAGGATAAGTCGAGCAAAGTCTGTGGTCTAACTCTTGTGACTCATGGGCCCCATAAGTGACCTGAAAGCTTCTACGTCTGCCCCGAAGAGAGACCCCTATCTCCTGTAGCCGTAGGGCTGAGATGGCTGAAAATCAACTCACATTGTCATCCTGCAACTGGATGAATCACAACATGAGTCACATTCCCAGCCTCACAGGGTATCTACTGTTAGAGGCATTGATGGAGAAGGAATGAGATTCTGGGGACGTGTGAGAAGACCCTGGTGGAGCTGAGGACATCGTGCCCCTAAATTCTGAGGAGGCTTCTTTGCCAGGGGCAGCAGTCTCTCCGCCTCCAGTACCAGTGGCCACTTCACCCACTCCAAGGGTATTCACCCTGCATTGCCTGGGAAAAGGGTAATGGCTTCTCCTGAGGCAGCAGCCGAGCGAGACAAGGCTGGTTCTCTTCAGGACCCACCCCCACCACCCTCTCTGCTTCTAAACCTATAACTAGACTCGAGTCCGCGGAGACCCCTAAAGGTGAGGTACAAAGTGTGACTCATGAGGAGGTGTACTACACTCCAAAAGAACTACTTGAGTTTTCTTATTCATACAGATAGAAATCTGGGCAACATGTCTGGGGGTGGATAGTAAGGGTGGGATAATGGTGGAAGGAACATAAAGTCGGATCAGGCAGAGTTTATCGATACAAGCTCGCTGAGCAGGAATTCTGCATCTAACATTGCATCTAATGTTGCATCTGCATCTACTGTTCCTAGAGTTAGAAAGGGCTCCAAGTTTGGTTGGTTGGCTTAAACATGGGCTACAATGAGACCCACAGAGAGTGAGTCAGAAATGCCGGAGCTGCCTTGGTTTAATGTAGAGGAAGGAATTAAAGGCTTAGGAAGAGTGGGATGCTACGGTGATTTTGTCATTTGAGACCTACTCACCCACACTGGGGGTCCAGAAGACACGCCTTTCACCAGGACGGCGATAAAATAAATTTGTGAAGGGGACCCTGGAATCCTTGGACAGCTGCGTGACTGCTCTTCTCTGCAGGCCAGACGTGACAGTGGGACTCAGTCACTAAATTGGAAACAAAATCAATGGGGTTTAATCCCAGGGTGGCGGGGGCAAGTGGCAGCACTCACCCGCCACAGGCAAGGTGGGCGTATTTACTAAATGGACAGCGGAGTCAACAGCTCTCAGAATAGTCTGACCCACCCAGACGTATGGCAGGCCAGGGGATCATGGTGTTCCTAGAACTAAAATGGGTAGGAAGCCTACTAAATTCTTCCTAGTTCCAAATAAGCAGAATAGTGAGCTCTAGGTTAAGTAAACAAAGTCTAGTCTGAATTATAAAAATAGTGTCACGGCCCCTCAGTCAACTCTCAGGCTCGAGCCAGTTAACAGACCCAGAACCCTTTGAATGAAGGGGAGGCTGGGTCCCCTTGAGGAAGGCCTCTAGTACACTACCAAATATTTATACTGTTAATCTTTCTCCCAGCCATCCTCAAAGGGACCTACAGCCTTTTACCAGGACACCTGTGCTTTGGGGAAGAGGAAATAATCAGAACTTTCGGGCACTACTGGACACTGGCTCTGAACTGACACTGATTCCAGGACACCCAAATGTCACTGTGTCTCACCAGTCAGAGAGGGGCTTATGGGAGTCAGGCGATCAGTGGAATATTAGCTCAAGTCCATCTCAGTGGCTCTGGGGACCAGTGGGTCCCCAAATTCATCCTGTGGTTTTTCCCCCCAGTTCCAGAATGTATAATTGGAATAGACATACTGAGCGGCTGGCAGAATCCTCACGCTGTTCTACGACGCTGTGGGGGAGTGAGGGACATTATGGTGGGAAAGGCCAGGCGGAAGCCACTAGAACTGCCAGTACTTAGGAAAATAGTGAACCAAATGTGATGCTCATTCTTGGGGGGACTGCAGAGATTAATGCCACCATCAAGGACTTAAAGGATGCAGGCATAGCGATTCCCACCACATCCCCAGATAAAAATAGTATGTTTAAGGTGTACATTGTGATATTGTGATATATGTGGACATTGTGAAATGATTACTAAAATCAAATATATCCATCACCTCCCATTGTTACCTTGTGCGTGTGTAGTGAGGACACTTGAGATCTACTCTCGTAGCAAATTTTAAGCACACAACATATTATTAACCACGGTCACTACGCTATACATTCAGTCTCCAGAACTTATTCATCTTACATCTGAAAGTTTGTACCCTTTGATCAATATCTCTCTTTTCCCCCCACTTTCCCAGCCTCTGGTAACCACCATTCTACTCTCTGTTAATATGAGTTCACCTTTTTTTTCCCCCTTAGATTTTGCGTGTGAGAGCATGTGATATTTGTCTGCATCTGGCTTATTTCATTTAGCATAATGTCCTCCAGGTTCATCCACGTTGTTGTAAATAGCAAGATTGTCTTCCTTTTAAAGGCTGGATAATATTCCATTATATATATGTATCTCACATTTCTTTATTCATTCATCTGTCAATAGAAATTAGGTTTTTTCCATGTTTGGGCTATTGTAATAGGAGTGCAGATGGCTCTTTGAGATAGTGATTTTATTTCCTTTGGGTGTATATGTGGAAGTGGATTGCCGGATCGTGTGGTGGTTCTATTTTTAATTCTTTAAGAACTCTTCGTACTATTTTCCAAAATGGCTGCACTAATTTACTTCCCCACCAACAGTGCACAAGGGTTCCCACTTCTCCACGTCCTCACCAACGTGTATCTTTTGACTTTCTGATAACAGCCATCCTAACCGCATGAGGTGATATCTCATTATGGCTTCGATTTGCATTTCCCTGAAGATTAGATGATTACTTGAACATCTTTTTATATACTTGTTGGCCATTCGTATGTCTTCTTTGGGAAAATGTCTATTCAGTTCCTCTGTCCATGTTTAAATTGGGGTATTTGGGTTTTTTGCTTTTGAGTTGTATGAAATCCTTCTATATTTTGGATATTAACCCCTTGTCAGATATACGATTTGCGAATATTTTCTCCCATTCCGTAGCTTGCCTTTTCATTTCGATCATTGTTCCCTTTGCTGTGCGGTACCGTTTTAGTTTGATGTCGTCTCTCGTTTAGCTTAACTTTTCCCCCTGTGTTCTTCTAAGACTTTTACAGCATCAGACCTAATGTTTAAGTCTTTAATCCATTTTGAGTTGATTTTTGTGTGTGGTGTAAGACAAGGGTCCAATTTCATTCTTTTGCATGTGGATATCCAGTGTTCCTAACACCATTTATTGGCAAGATGATTCTTCTTTCATGGTATAATCTTGGCACTTTTGTCAAAAATTAGTTGACCGGATATGTGGATTGATTTGGGAATTTTCTATCCTGATCCGTTGGTCTCTGTGTCTGTTTTTACGCCAGCACCATGCTGTTTTGATTACAGAGCTTCGTGATACAGCGCGAAGTCAGGAATTGTGATCCCGTCATCTTCGTTCTTGTTCAGGATCGCTTTAACTATTCAGGGTCTTTTCTGGTTCCATACAATTTTAGGATTGTTTTTCCTATTTTTGGGAAAAGGGCTCCTCACAGCACAGATGTGGCCATTGGGCCCCTGGGAAAACCTACCCTGCTCCCAGGCATCACAAATGACCCCTACTGGGCTCTGCACCTCCCTCTCTGCAGAGATTCCATCACGCACAGCAGGGAATAACTCCTTCTGAGATGAGTGGTGGAAAATTGAACTCAGGCGGCATCTTCATTTGGGTCAGGGAAGGAGAAAAGGGAGAGACTGAGAGGCGGAGCAGGAGCTGGGGGAGAGAGAACCAGCAGGCAGCAGCCAGGGAGGAGATGGGATGGGTAGGGAAGAGGAAACGTCCGTGTTTCCTGCCAGCTCCTGCCATCCGTCATCCTTTCTTGGAGGGGAAATCAGTATTCCGCCCTCTTGTTCTCTCCCCAAATGTTCCGAATTTAGAAAGGAAAGAGCAAAACCCTGACAAATGCATATTGTTTTCCAACTATAAATGCCGCATCCGCTTCCGCCCCCGCACAGATGTCAACGCCTCTTCCCGGCTGTTGGGCGTCAGTGTCCCCGGCCTGGGCGCTCTGCCACCACCGCTGGCAGTGCCCGCCTGGGGCGCAGATGGAGCCAATGAAACAAACTGTTGGCTCGCCACTCAAGGTCACCTGGTTGCCTAAGCAGATTCTCGGCAATTTCTTACAGGATGAGCATTTCCAGCTCAAAGCTCTGTTGGCATTTCCCCCTGACAACTCACTTGTTTGGAAAAATAATCGTGAAACCATTCATTCTCCCTGTTTAAAAGTACCATGTCACTCATCGCTGTCGCCTTTGGATATAGCAGGGCAGAGATGATCACTTCCTTTGTTCAGATGAGGAAACCGAGCCTCAGAGGATGGAAGGCATTCGCTCAGAGTAGAGAGGGCTAAGAACCAGGGTTAGTGGGCAGCAAACATGATGAAGCCCCAGGGCACCTCATGAGCCCCAGTGGCCTGAGTTCTAAGTTAACCCCTCCCCTGTTGCCAAAGTCAGAAATGCCCCAGATTCAGTTCCCAGATTCAGAGCCATACAACTGAGTGGCTCTGAGCAGGCATGAGGAATAGTGTACAACCCTCTTAGTTAATAATGACTATAGCATTCGCATAATGCTGCTTATATGCCAAACACTCT